GAGGGGTGATGATCAGGGCCGAGCCAAGATGGCAGAATAGCAGAATCAATGTAGCTGAGCTCCCCTCCACAACTCCTTTAAACACATCAAAAAGTCACAGTGAATCCTTTGTCCAGCCCAGGTCAGCAGAGGGAGACAGATAAGAGATGACTGCTGCCACTGGCGACTGAGTCAGGGCAGGAGCACCCCAGAAGTCAGGTAGAGGCACCAGAGCAGGAGGTCACCCCCAGACCCCTACCAGGGCACTTCATGGGGACAGATACCAACTTCAGCTTTGTTGCTTACTACCCACTTCTGGATTACAGAACCAGGCTGGACTAAGAAGGAGAACCTAAGTAGAGAGTGGGTAGTATACTAAGATAAGAGGAAATTCAGCAGCAAGCAGCAGGAGTTTGCCTCAGACGTCAGGAACAGAAAAGGATCTCAGTTATAGCATGTAGTACAGTCAACAGAGGAATCTCGGGTAAAAGGGGAACCTGTAGTTTTCTCACTCTAAACCAGCAGAATTACTTAGCTGGCTAATAGTGACTAAGTACAGTAGCAGCCTACTATTGCTCTAACTGCAACCCAGGTCAGGGAATTACAGAGTTTAGACTAGGGGGCTAGCAATCAACTTTGTTCTAGATCAGACCATTCTGAGAGTACTGAAAGGAACAGGCCAGCCTTCCCTCCAGAAGTGTGTCACAGCCCAGTCCTAACATCAAGTCCAAAGTTAGGAAGTAGGGTGGAAGAATGGGAAACAAACAAAAAAAACCCAGAAACCTACCATAATAAGCTATTTTGATGGCAGGGATGCTTAAGAAATAAACTAGAAAGGGAGAGAATAACTCCAAAACATCTACAAGCAATGCCTCAGAGGAAAATATAGCTTGGGGACAAACTCAGTTAGAATTCCTAGAAAATATAAAGCAATTTTTTTAAAAAGTTGCAATGTGTTTTATAAATAAAATGAAAGCACTTAAAGGGAAAAATGGAAAAGAAATGAGAGACATGGAGGAAAGAATTAGAAAGGGAACTAGCATAAAATGTACAAAATCTTACCCAAGCAACAAACTCACTGAAAATTAGGATGGATCAACTAGAAGGCAATGACTCCATAAGGCAACAAGAAATATTAAAACAAAATCAATAGGCTGAAAAAAAAAAACAGAAGAAAATGAAAGGTACCTCATAGCAAAAACAAAAACAAAACTGAACTGGAAAACAGAGGAGAAAAAGTTTAAGAATCATTGGACTACGCGAACTCCATGACCAAAACAAAACAAAACAAAAAAGCCTAGATATTCCATTTCAAGAAGTCTTAAAAGAAACTTGGAGTACCAGAGGGCAAAGTAGAACTAGAAAGAATCCACTGGTTACCTCCTGGAAGAAATCCTGAAGTGAAAACTCCCAGAAATATCATAGCCAGGTCAAAGAAAAAAAAATACTTCAAGTAGCAAGAAAGAATTCAGGTACTGAGAAGCCACAGTCAGGATCATACATGATTAGCAGTCACTACTATAAAGGAGTGAAGAACTTGGAATATAATATTGAAGAAGGCAAAAAAAGAAAAACTGGACTTACAGCCAAGAATAACATACTCAGCAAAACTAAGTATAATGCTACAGAGGGAAAAGTGGCTTTGTAATGAAACAAAGCACTTCCAAACATTTCTGATGAAAAGAACAGAGCTGTTTTTGAAACTCTGAAGTTCAAACACAAGAGTTAAGAGAAACATAAAATGATAAACATGAACAAACTGATAATTAGCTAAAAAAGAATAAAGTGCTTACATTCTAATATAAGAAGATGATACATTTATTCCCTATGAACATTATCACAGTCAGGGTTCATAGAGGAAGTCTAATTAGACAAGCACTAAGAGTGGTTTTGTTATGTCTTGATGATCTTAACAGAAGAATAGAAAGAGAAAGGAAGAAGAATACACTGGAGGGTGAGGAGAGGGAAAGGAAAGAGAAAATTATCTCACAAAATCAGGATATACAAGTAGACATCTATTTACCCAAGGAGGAAAGGATGAGGGAGAGTGTCTGACACTTGAATCTCACTATCCTCTAAACTGGTCAAGGAGGGAAGAATATACACTACACATACACAGACAGAGTTGCACAGAAATACATTTCATCTAACAAGGAAATAGGAGGGAAAGAAGAGAAAGGGAGAAATAGGAATTAGACGATAGATTAAGGAGGGGTTAAGCAAAACAAATTCTAAGGATTTATAAAAATATTTATAGCTCTTCTGGGGTGGCAAAGAATAGGAATCTGAGGGAGTGCTTATAAATTGGGGAATGGATGAATAAGTTATGGTATATAAATGTGACGGAATACTATTGTATTGTAAGAAATATAGAGAAAATGGCTTCATAAAAACCTGGGAAGACTTGTATGATCTGAGAAACAAGAGAACAATTTATACAATCACAGCAATATGGTAAAGGAAAACAAATTTGAAAGAATTAGGAACTCTTATCAATGCAATGACCAATCATAATTCCAAAAGACTAATAATGAAACATACTACCCACCTCCTAATGGAGAAATGATAATGGAGAAATGAAAGAATTCAGAGTACAGAATAAGACCAAAAAAAAAAAATCAGACACAGCCAATTTGGAAATTTGCTTTGATTGACTATCCATGTTTCTAAGGGGGTTTGTTTTTCTTTATTTCTCAAGAGGTGGTGAGGGATGGGGTGGGAGGGTTAGAGAGCAGATTTTTGCTGATCGAAAAAAAATAAAATATGATTTTTTTAAATACATGGTTGGTTGGTTGGATGACAAACAATTTGAATGGAAAAAGCCAGTCAATGTGATATCATAGCTCAGTACAGCATCTGGAAATCAACACATTTGCCCCAGGAGGAAGCTTGGAGTTGTAGGGAGGTATTTTGGACAATGACTAGCAAAATCCTGCTCAGTTAATACTTTGATCTTCCAAGCTCATCAGCCCAGGCTCCATGTTGTGGTTTCTATTCCACAAGCACATACATCTGAGACTGAGTTTCTCACAGAACAAATGAAATAATGTACCTTAAAAGGCTGCATAAACTATAAATAACTAACAGTACAATGAAAGCCCCTTAAGGGCAGGGATTGTTTCATTTCTGAGTTTGTGTCCCAGCGGTTTCAAATATACCTGGCACACAGTAGGGACTTAGTAATTACTCACTGAATAAGTGATTGTTATTTCCAAACTGTTGATCAAGCTATATTTCATTGACTTTGGCATATCATAACACACTGACTTAAAAAGAAATGTCTTATCTTTGAACTCATATTCCAACATGTATACTCTTCTCCTATGGCAGATTAGAGAATTCCATCCACAGACCAATATCTGTATTTATGCTACTTGTAGTGCCCGAAATGGAATGATGAAGTAAGAAATGACTGTGCAGAGAAGTAGAGCTATTACTGAGTCATAAGTGTACTCCCCAGCCCTGACACATCTATATAGAGTAAGAGATGGGTAAAGATCAAATTCTGCCTTGTACAGAGCCTCTCTTACTTTTTGGTTCCTCCTCTTACACTGGGAAAAACTTGGTTTCTAATGCCTTATGAGGATAAAGAAAGTGATAGTGTTAGCAGAGGGGCCACAGACTTAGAGACTTAGAAAAGTCACACTTCTCAGCCATCAGAAACTTGAACTGAACAGTTTGAGGTCAGAGACAGAGGAGGACACAGAAGTTAATATAGCAGGCAAGTAGAGCTGAGAGAGTTTCTGTCCACTCCAACACTGGTCTTGTCTGTCTGTACCTCTACAACTTGAATCATGACCTAGTTGTGAAAAGAAACCATCAGACATCACTTCCAGTGACAGGACACTGAGCTTCCATTTATACCCGGTCCCAAGCCCATATACCGTTATTGCTTTGAGGAAGATGGGCTAAGTCCTGGGAGTCCAATTTCTTAGCCTTCACCTAATGACCAGCCCTATTGGATGGCATGAAAAAAAAAAGTAGATGGCAACTCTATGCTCCTTTGCCAACTCCAAGGAAGACTAGCTACTGGGGGCTAAGCAAATTGAACTGTACCTTTCATGGGTTCAGAAAAGCCTATGTACTCTCTGCATCTGGAGAAGTAGCCATATGGTAGGTGTTTTATTATGTGCTATTTATTGTTTTTATTGTTCCTATGCCAAGGGTAAAACACTGTATACAGAAGAACTCTGGCTCTTTCTGTGGAAGAAAACTCCATTATGCCAAGGTCAAGTGACTACAGCACAAAGAAACACTGACACAGTGCCTGGCACATTATAGGCACTTAATAGTCATAGATTGATTGACACATTGGCATGGTTACCCAGAAAAAGGCAGAGATGTAGACTAGCTGGGAGAGGCAGAGCTGGGCTCCCTCTGAGAGCAGTAGTTTGGCCCCTGCAATTCCCAGAACCTAAGGCTTCTTGTTAAAAAGGATCAAGTCAGTTGTTAGCCATGATACCTAAGGGTAAAATTTATACAGTTTATCTGAATTATAGTCATCTGAGCTCTGTTTAGTTTTTGTTTCCAAAGGAGAATACCTTATGGAGAGGGGAAAAGGGAAACAAGGATTAAATGACCCAGAGACAAGTCACTACCACAATGTAAATAATCCAATCATTTCTAAAGTCATATAGGTCTCTGTAAAGAAAAAAGAAAAGAAGAACACCAAAAACTAACTTCTCTTTTCTTCTTCATCAAAGGTGAAATGCAAATCCAACCATTTGCTTTGTATATGGCTTATATTTATCTGATTTGCCCATCATCTTTCTGGGCCTGCTACAGGCCACCGGCAAAGTCTTCCATGTTCCGCCTTTAATCGTCTCTACCCTAGAAGATTAGCATATACACAATACTCATCCTTCTTTTTATGCTGTTTATAATACACTATACTCTCCAGGTTGTTGTTGGAAAAGGCCATGAGATCCAAAGACCCCAAGCTGATTCCTTCCTCTGTTCCCATCAGGTGAACTAATGGTACTCCCAGATTATCCTGTTGCTCTCTAAGGAATGATTCTTACCTTTGAGACACACTCATCATTTGTCAGACGTTCCTCGAGCAATTCCATCAGCATTGAATCAGGAATTGCCTAAAGAAAGCAATGTACAAAAACAGAAGAAAAAGAAGAAGGACTGAATATTTGCAGGAAAGGTAAAAAGGCATTTTAATAGGCAAGAGCACTAGTTAAAGTGAAAGTACTACCCTTTTGAAATTAAAGTTTCTCAAATCCCAAATCAGTATCATACAATTCAGACAGCTTTAGGAGTGACAAATAAACTCAGGTAATTAAAAAAAAGAAGGAAAGAAAAAGAAACTGGAAACACATTTCCTCTGACTTTCCCTTTGTTCTAACTTCTCTTTCTCCCCTGAAACTGATTGATATCCCTCATGTGCACTGGTTTCCAGATTAGTATGAATTCAATAGCACATCAAATTGCAAAAAAGTATGTGCAAACACTATGAAAATTATCAAGTGCCACATATATGACATAACTATTGTTATTATCATCAACTAGGGGATGGAAATATCTCAGTAAAGAAGGCCTTGTGTCAACCTCCAAGTCCAGTTCTGGTCCATCCACAGGGGCCAGAGACACCAGCTTAGCTCAATATCCATTTATACTCCAAAGACACGTAGAAGACTGTCCGTTTCTCAGTCTAAGAAACTTCTTCATTCAATAAATAAGCCACTCTTCAAAGGGCTGCCATGCTGTAGGATGAATGGTGTAGGAGCTCAGTGAGAGAAAATAGATTTCAATGAAGTTTCTAATGTCTATTTTACTACATTTTTACTACATTTCCCAGGAAATCTAGAGTCCTAGGAGTTTTTCAAACAAGAGATATCCAGTTTCCTTCAGTAATTGCACTAAATTGGTGAAAAAGAATCCCTGCAGTGCCTACACCTGCACTCACTCCCATGGTTGAGTTAGTACCAGTCCTGATCTAAGTGAAGTGCAAAGCCCTTTTCTACGGGGCTTTCTAGAAGTGTGTGTTACTCCCTTCCTTGAACACTCATAACACCATAATGATGTGGATTCTGTGGGAAATGAGAAATGTACTTTGGAGTAGAAAGCTTTGTTTCTAATCTGGCACAGCCTTTTCTTAATCTCCTGTTGATCATTTGGAATGGGTTTTATTCATGTATGTATCAAAGTCTGTTCAAGCTAAAGATCTCTCAGCATTTCCTAAGTGTACATATGTATTAAAATCTACATTTACTTATAGCTCACTTGAGAAGAAGGCACTACAGGGGCAGCTAGGTGGCACAGTGCATAGAGCACCAGCCCTAGAGTCAGGAGGACCTGAGTTCAAATGTGGCCTCAGACACATAATACATCCTAGCTGTGTGACTCTGGGCAAGTCACTTAATCCCAATTGCCTCACTTAAAAAAAAAGAAAGAGAGAAGAAGGCACTACAGTCAGAGTGGGGGCAGTCTTTTTTAAATACTGGAGAAGACGCAGATACACAATGAAAATGTGGGATCTGCTCTATCACAATGCCTCCAAACAGGACAACTGAGCACCCACACTACAGACATTGCCAGAAACTTGCGTATAGTTAGTATAGAGTATAGTCTATAAGGAACCTCAAGAGGACTCACAGAAAGTCCTGAGAATCTAGAGAATGTGGATCTTCAGGGACCTGAGACTTAAGAGAGGTAATTAAAGAGGAAGTGAGCTGAATGCATTGTCCATAAAGTTTCTCTGGATGGAATAAGATGTATGGGCAAAAGATATAAAATTTCCAGGAATTTTGAAGTAAGAAAAACAAAATAAGGAAATTTTTTTAAAGGAAACTGAAATGTATATACTTTGTTAGTTTAGGAACATAAAGATATGTTGTGAATAATTTGGTTTACTTATACAATGTTTATTTCATTTAGAGAAGCAAAGGTTTGGGGGGAGAGGATTGGGAAGATACAATTTTTTTTTCATTTTTTTATGATTTTGAAGAGGAGAGTCTTCCCCGCCACGCCTCAAATGTGGGCTTTTTCTCCTGATTTTTTATTTTTTCCAAATTTCTTTTTCTCCCAGCTTTTACATCCCTAATGTGGTTTGCAATATGGTGGAATAGAGGATAATTAGGTAAGTGATGGGAGGAGGGGGTGAAGTAAGGAAAAAAAGGCAAATTTTTTGAAAACCTGTAACTCTGCACGGAGGAACTTTATTTAGGGTTCAGAAGTAGGTAGCTGCTCAAATCTCAGCTCACCATCAGGGCTAGGTGGGACCTAGGAAAGGAAGCCCAATGGGTCTCCTTTCTAGCAGGAGCATTTTGCCTAAGATACTTTGTGGGGAAGGGCAGGAGAAAAGAGAAGGGCTTATGGAAGGGCTCCTTCCATTCAAGGCGTCTCCTCTTTTGGTCCATCATGTTCCTGCCAGGTCCTCATGTCCTCCCCTCCCAAACAGCCAAGTCCAGGAGGTAGGTGCCCAGGTCAGAGACTAAGGAATGCAAAGAAAGATGATAAACTGTGATTCTGAAAAAGTTAAACTGCCGAGGGCCCCAACTCCCAGAGCAAGGCTGGGATTTTGCTCCGACTTGATTTTCTCCAACTCTCTCTCCCCTCCCCTGACAACAGCCACCCTGGAGATAGCATTCAAGAGGTGAGAGTGGGGATGGGGGAGGGGATTGGAGGGAGTCAAAGAAACCTGGGGCTTGAAAGACGACAGGTTGCTCAGTGTGGTACGTCAAAGTCTCCCGCAGCCTTGCGCAGCTGGAGCGTGGGGCTGTGGCTTTGAGTCTGTCACCTTCCAAAGGTACGTCATGCTGCTCCCTGAAACTGCTAGTGTCTTGCTTAGTTCTTTGATGTGTCATGTCAACAGGGGCTAGCAGTTTCCAGGGGGTCCGCTCCTCCAAACCCTGCCAAACCAAGCTGAACAGAAATGAGACGAACTCCTTGCAGAGTCTGCAATAAGATCCTGCCCCACCAGCCCTGAAGGGAGCGAGGGGGGCACACGTTGGCAGGAGGCCGCAGTCAAGCCAGTTAACTGCTGTCCCTAAGCACCCCAGCTCAGTGCCAGGTTTTCTGCTGCTCAGGATGCTCAGACTACAGCCAGCCTGCAAACCCACTGGTCTGTCTGCTTTTTCTCACAGAAAACTGCAAAACACGGAGACTACTTCATCCCTTTAAAGAGCAAATCTGTTGGATTTCTCTAAATTTGGAAATCTCTCACTTCTTGTTCCAGGTCTCCAAATGTTGGAAACAGCAATGTCCTAGTGGGATCGCGCCCCATACTCACCAAAATCACTGTTAACTCATTCTTTCCCCTCTTACTGTGATTAAAAAAGCACCGGTATAGGTGATAAATCCGGGAGCTCCCGGAGGCAGGGATTTTGCCTCCTTTTGTATCCTCAGCACTTCACACAGTGCCTGGCACATTGTTGTTGTTGTTCAGTCATTCCCAGCTCTTTGTGACCCTGTTGATCATATCTGTCCATGGGGTTTTCCTGGTAAAGAAATTGATTTGCCATTTTCTTCTCCAGACAGAGGTTCAGTGACTTGCCCGGGGTCACACAGCTAGTAAGTGTCTGAGGTTGGCTTTGAACTCAGGTCTTCCTGACTCTAGGCCCAGCACTCTATCCATTGAGGCACCTAGCTGCCTTACCTGGCACATAGCAGGTGCTTTATAAATGTTTATCAATTGATTAATTCTCCATAGGCATGGTACCTTTGATCTGCAATTATAAACTTCTTAAAACTTAGGTTTCTTTTTCTTTTCTTCTCTCTTTTTAAAAAATAAATAGAGGCGAAGGATTTTGGTGAGTTATTCAGAGCTGCCTCCAGGCCTCTCCCTTTATGTTGTTCTCCTGGAATGAATTCCCCCATGCCTTCTGCCTGTTTGATTCCTCCCCATTCTTCAAGACTCAGCTTATCATAAGATTTAGAGCTGAAAGGTACCTTAGAGATCGTCTAATCTAACTCCCTTATTTGACAGACAAGAAAGCTGATATTCAGCTCAAGTCATTCATTCGGTAAATATTTACTGAGATCCTCCTATGTGCAAGGCTCTATATTAGGAGCTATACAAAGGAGTGGCTCTATTAGGAGAGTATATTAGGAGCATTACAAAGAAGTAAAAGATGCAGCTCCTTGTCATTAAGGAGGTGAAATATAATATAGGAACTACAGATATGATATGATATGATATGATATGATATGATATGATATGATATGATATGATATGATATATGATATATGATATATGATATGATATGATATGATATAATATCTACAAATATAATATAAGAACTACAAGCCCCAACTCCTCCTTGGAGCATTCCTGACCACCCCAGCACGAAGTGACCTCTCTGTCCTTTGAACTACACACTTGGGACTTACCATGCACCATTTTGTACGGTTAATTCTTCTTACATTCAATTCGGTTTTTAAAAATATATGTGAAATACCTACTATGTGCAAAAGACTATGTTAGGCACTAGGATTACAAAGACAAAAACCAGTGAGTCCCTGACTTCAAGGAGTCTATTCTACTATAGGCAGTTAGGGAGACAAGATATAGACATATTGAGTAGAATATCAGCTGCTCAAGGGGAGGAACCATGCCTAGGCTCTTAGCATGGTACATCGGAAAGAGCAATGGTTCTGGAGCCAAAAGACCTAAATTCAAATCCTGTTTCTTATGCTGACAGCCTGTGTGACTTTGGACAAGACCTTCACCTCTCTAGGCCTCAGTTTCTTCATCTGTAAAATGAAGGATTGAGCTCGATGGCCTCTGAGGTCCCTTCCGGCTTTAAATCTATAAACACACACACATACACACACATATATATAGTTGTTGGTCGGACACAAAAAACTGAACAACAACATATATATGTGCATGTACATGTATATATACACACACATACAAAATCTTATATATATGCATAGTCATATATGCATATAACCTTATGGATAAAAGAATCATATATATTTGCATGTATGTATAATCTCATATATATAGAAGATTATGATTATATACACATATACGATTATGGCTTTAAAACCAGAAGGGCCTCACATATATACATATATATATATATATATATATATATATATATATATATATATATATATATATATATATATATATATATATATATATATATATTATATATATATATATACACGCACACATATATATATGCACTATATGTATATATACACATATACAAATGCTATATATGAGATACATACATACATACACATATATATAGCTTTTCTCATAGTACCTAGCATAGTTCTCACAATAATAATCATAATAGATAACATTTATATAGTGCTTAGTGTGTGCCAGGCACTGTGGTAAGACTTTACAATTATTATTTCATTTGATCCTCACAACCACCTTAGGCAGAAGAGGCTATTATTATCTTTATTTTACAGATGAGTAAACTGAGGCAAACAGAGGTTAATTGACTTGCCCAGGGTTACACAGCAAGCGTCAGGTCTTCCTGACTCTGGGTCCAGGTCTCTATCTACTGTACCACTTAGCACCCTTCGCATTTAGAATATATTTATCAACAAATTTTTGCTGACATAACTTTTTGACTGAAAATACTGTGAGACACGTAGGTATATTACAAAGGAAAAGGTCTCCCTTTCCCGCTCAGTGGACAATCCAGTGAAAAGGCAGGTTCTTATCTCTCTGGTGGTCTTATGAACCATTAGTGTGAAGGGAGGAGAATACATGAGATGACTCGTCATGAGAAAAAGCTGAAAGTAGGACAAGCACTGCTGGTCTGGGTTCGAGTCCCAGCTCTGACACTAATTGCCTGATGTCAGCACCAAGTGACTTGAGCTATCTGAGCCTTGGTTTCAACTGCCATCTACCCTCAGGGGACCACCGGGCTTTGTAAATTCTAAAATACGAGTATGTGTCAGTAAGTGGGTCAAGGTCTCCCCCCACATCAACACCTGCCTTACTAAAGTAAATTCTGGGCCCTCATTACTTTGATAGAAGATTCTTCTTCAGCTTTCTTATTGAATCACCTCATCTTGCACATGGGACCTCAAAAGAACACATGAAGGTCCTAGCAAGAGGACAGAGCTGTTGTATAACCATGATCAAAGAATGGTGGTACTCAGTCTTTACAGGTCATCCTCTATGAAGGAAGACAGACATAGAATGGGAAAGGAGAAAAAACAATACCTGCCTAGCCATCCAGTCCCCAGTGATCAATCATCCTCAGAGTCACCTCACCCTATCACAACCCAAGTCTTCTTTTCTCTCAACTAAATCCTTTTGGTTCCTTCTAACATCTCCATATGGCATAGTCTTCTCACTCTTCTGGTTGTCCCTCAGGCTGCTAATTTTCTCCTTAAAATATAGTGCCCAGAACTGAACACAATACAGTTCAGATGTGATCTGACTAGGGCAGAGGAGAGCAAGACCATCACTCTCTCATAAACCTCGATTAATGGAGCCTAAGACTGGGTTAGCTTTTGGCTGCCACGAAACACCTGACTGACATTGAGTTTACAGTCACTATTACCTAGGCATGACTCCCCTTTATAAAGTTCCTTGATGTATCGTGATTGCATATTTGTTCCCATGCCCACAGTGATGTAAAATGTGGGTCTCTCTCATTATAAGAGAGACAATCTACATTTCAGGCCCTATCTTTGTTTTAATGTCTATGATGTAACTACCTTTATGCAGTTCTACAGTCCATACAGATATACATATACACTAAGCTGAAAGGACTGAAAGTAGCAGGAGAAAAATAACATATTTGTGAGTATTGAAAAGGTTTGCTATTTCTTCTAAAAGAAGAGCCACAAGGAATCCCAATCATCCAAAGGATTTGGATTGTAACTAATGGCTGTTTACCTGGCAGGCAACGTTCTATAGACTTACAGTCAACCACCAAGACCTCACCAATTTCAATCCTTCAGAAACTCCTTTAGCTATCTGATTAGTCCTGACAGCCTTGCTTTTCATCTTCCCTCCCATCAGTGTTTCTGAACCAAATCATCCCAACAAGGCACCCTTGAACGTACTTGATAAGATCTGAAATATGTTGATAATTAGTGTAATTAAACCCAAGAGAGTTCTCTTAAATTCTGTCATCTAAGTTGAATTTTATGAACCTAATAAAATCATCTTTACAATAGAAATAAACAATTTTTCCTCATAAAAGCTCACCGTAGTATATAAAATTAGACAATTTTTTTCTACATTTATGTTAAGCCCAAGGATGTTTTCCAGTGCCCCAGGGTAGGAATACAAACGGTTAATATTGCAAATATACATAGACATTGGGGCAAGATGGTGGGGAATTCCAGTACCCCTTATCTCTTTCATGTATAAATGCTGCCAGAAAAGTAAAGAAGAGTGGAAAACAGAGATAGCTGGAAAACTGCAGGTCATGCCTCAGTCACATCATCTGCTTTGGCTGGTGCTGACCCAAAAAATGCATTCTTTCCTGTCTGTCTTCCAAAGAGAGTGGCAAGTCTAAGTGTAATATCACCAGCTGCCCTCTTTTAGATGATGTCTGGACTGGCCCAACAGGGCAAAACAACCCAGGTGCAATGATATCTGAGGAATTGCATCCGTACTTCAGTGTAGATTAACTTTGCCAAGTTGTTTTGGATTGGGATACAAAGATATTTGCAGTTGCAGCTATCATCAAAAGGCTAGAATGGCCCCAGATGAAAATCAATTTATCTGCAGTGACCAAAAAGATCTGAATATGTAGATGGAAGAAAGCTTCTGAATAAAATCTATACCTACATAGGTGCAAAGGTTTATCACTGTTTATGATGTATAGATATATAAATGGAATTAATAACAATTCATGTGTATATAGCACTTTAAAGATTTAAAAAATGATTTCTTCAAAATAAACCTATAAGATAGTTAAGTAGTAAAAGATAGTTACTTGTTACACATGTTTCTTACGTGTGTACCTCACTACTAGTATGGTCTAAGTTTAAGATTACTCCTTCCATGGATGCTGTGTATATTTGTGGGAAGGAGTGAACCCGAACATTTTGTATTAACTGTCTTTATCATATTATCTGAGAGTAGTAGTAACTGCCCTCTAAATGCTTCTTTTTTTTCTTCTTCCTCCTCAAAAAATTGAAGTCCTTTGCCCAGGGTCCCATAGCTAGTAGGTACTAGCACTGTCCATTTTCCTGATTTTGCTGCCTTTTGGAAGCATCTATTCATACAGTACTCAAGAGGAAACACAACAACCAAATCCTACAGGCACCAGAGGATTTTTCCCTTAACTTAATCCTTCAACATAGGGTTATGTTGAGGATTTTAAGGCTTAGAGGGTCCGAAGCCTGCTAATTTCACTCATCTTTTGCCCGTGGTATATATATAGTGCTAAAGTGGGCCACAGAGCTAAGAATACTTAGGTAAGTCTAAGACTAGTCTTCCCACAATGCTGTACTAGATTATAAGTTCCATGGGAGCAGAGAATGAGTATTTATCTAAGCTCTGAAAGTAAGCACCTAATAAACATTTAAGAAATGTTACTGAATGAATCCTCACTCCCTCTCTGCTCCCTGTGAGAGTACGTAAAAGAGATGAGAAAACTTGTAAAAACAGCACTCTGAGACTTTGCATCTATTCAAAGCAATTCTTTTATCATTATTTGTTATTTTCTTCTATCTACCAGCTAGTATCATAGAAATCTTTCCTCAATTCCAACCAGCCTTAGGGGATGCCTGAGAATTCTCTCCCCATCTTTTTCGCACTCGCTCACCCATGACACCTTAAATATGCCTTCTTTCCACCCCCTGAAAAGAACCACTTTCCTTCATTTGATGCAAGCAGAAATCAAGACTAGTGTGTCTATAAACTAGTACTTTAGCAGCTTTACTACCCTATGCTACCCAGAGAAAGCCTGGGGTGAGGGACAGTAAGAAGGCATACCTGGTTTGCTCCAAAGACTGTAGCTGCTTTAGCAGCTATTACCGAAAATTCATTTCTTATTAAGTTCTGCTTCGTGATGAGGCTGGCATTTAAATGTTTACAAAGCCACATTGCCTGAAGAAAGAATGGAGAAAAGGAAAACATCAGTAAAGAGAATGAATATATTTACCAAATTAAAATTCTATGATGTTGTAAATTATATTAAAATGCTTAGATCCTTCTACTTTCTATCTTTTGTAAAAGAGTTTTTAAAATGTGCTTATTTTTACATAGCCACTGACTTAGAAGTTTTAGGTACAATTATGGTTGAAGATAGGAAACTAGACTACATGAATTCACTAGATTTAGAGCTAGAAGGATCTTTAGAGATCATCTATCCAACCCTCCTCATTTAACAAATTAGGAAACAGATGCCCAGAAAGATGAAGTGAGTTGCCCAAAGTTACCCAAGTAATAGGTAATTAGAGCTGGGATTCAAACCCAGGTCTTCAGACTCTGGGTTTAACTCTCATTCACTGTACCTGCTACCTCAAGGGTTCTACTTATCCCTCATTCATCTCTTGAAGTATGAACTGATTGCAGAACAGAGTAGAAACCCGATAAATATACTGCATCTTGGGTCTAGTGTCATGTGCATTAGCTTTCTGCATCTTTCCTTTTTTTTCCTTCTTTTTAAGTTTTATTGATACCTCTCATTTCCATACCACAGTAATTCCCTGTTATATCCCCCCTACTCATGTAATAAAAGAAAAACAGTTAGGCAAAGCCACCAAAACAAATAAACAAAAGAAAAAGAGCAACCAAAAGAGCTTCTGCATTTCACAGACTTTGTGTCTCCCACCCCAAGGGCTTTATGCCCTTGGTTGTCTAAGACTGAGACTGTTCATTACAATCACACAGGTCTGGCTGCCTTTTAGCTTCTTTTCATTTGTATTATTGTAGTCGTGGTTGCAACTATTCTCCAAGTCCTGATTAAGTGCTTCACTGTGTATTAGTTCATAAAAAATTTTCCTATGTTTCCACATTGTGTTTTCACTTTATTTTAAGGTATTTCTTAAACCTCAACAGTATTTCATCACATTTATAAACCATAATTGTTCAGCCATTGCCCAATTGATGAGCTCCTAATCTGTGTTGTTTTTTGTTACCACAAAAAGTGCTGTGATGAATATTTTGGAATACATGTAGCCTATGATCTATATGGGAAATATATATTATATATATATATATATGTACATATATATATATATATATATATATACATATATATACATACATACACACACACATAAAATGTGTACATACACATATGCATACATGCATATACATATTTTATGCACACATACACATATCCAGTAGCTAAATAGCTGGATTAAAGACTATGAATAGTTTAGACTTTTCTAGAAGCAACATCTACTACTACTAAGAAGGTTTTCTAGAAAGTCTCTGCTATATAGGCTAGTTTTTCCCTAAAAAGACAACCAAGCTGTTCTTAAGGTTTAATTGGTCCAGGGCACGGGTGGGGAACTTGCAGCCTCAAGGCCATATGTGGCCCTCTAGGTCCTCAAGTGCAGCCCTTTGACTGAATCCAAACTGTGAGGTTTGGATTGGACACACTTGAGGACCTAGAGGACCACATGTGGCCTCAGGGCTGCAGGTTCCCCACCCCTGGTCCAGGGGATTAAAGCTGAACCATTGGCTAAACATATGAGTCGCCTAAGGCACAAAAACTAGTGGGCACTCCTCAAGCTTGATGACTTCCCACTGCTCTTCAAGTCAATCCACCATTCCTTCAGATCTGGTGAGCCATTGTGGCAAATGTAGAGGTAAGGTGAGCCACATACAACTAATAACACTATATCTTAGCCCAAACTACTTGCCATATTATTAGTGAATAAGCTTCTTTATATTAAAGGTTGTATGTTCTACTTATACTTGACTTCTTCCCAGGTGAAAGAAAACCCACAGAGGAATGGAGAAAAAGCATTGGCAAAAACAATAACTCCACACCACTTTCCTGGGGCCTGGGCTACCTAGTCCACCAGGTTGATAAGGTCAGAAAAGGCCACAGCAATCAGTATAACCACTTTATTCCACTCTCAAACTGCTGCCACCAGTTATCACCTGCCTTCTTCACAAATCACTCAGGGTTATTATAAGAAGAGTCTGTATAGAAAAGTACTCTGGCCTCCTTCGTCTTCCGTTACTAGGAAGGAAATAATTTTAGCCCTACCTGGGACCTGATATTATTTTATCTATCTAGGATGGTTCAAACAACTCGACTCCATTCTAACCACAACAGCCAACATAGTGGCTGTCATAGGCGCCCATACAGGTACTGACTCCCAAGAGTTCATGATATTCATGCCCATGACTAGCCATAATAACTGTGACCCAGATTGGGGGAGGGGAGTGGAAGGAGGAAGAATTGATGAGGTTTAGATGCTAGGGATGCTGGGACCCCAAAATCACAACACACGGGTTCTGTCCAAAAGAATTCAACCCAAGCCTTCTTTCAGCCAAAGACCAGGTTTTATTAAAGATCATCCATAGAGGCCAGATTCTTAAGGGATCTGACCATTTGTGATGCTGGCAAAGACAGGTAGGCATGAGGAATTCTCAGCCCCTAAATGGCAGCCAGGATGGATCTTATACAGAAAGACTATGGGAGGGATCTAGGAGTGGCCAAATAGTTTGGGGTGACTGGAGGAGGGGCTGGGAGAAGGGGTTTCTTGATGGGAGTGGCCAGTAAGCTGGGGTGACTGGAGGAGGAGTTTAGGGAGGTTGAAGGGGATGTAGATAGAATCAAGGATAGGAAGCAATAAATAAGGGACAGTGGAAGGCTAAGGTAACAAAGAATTGAGAGACTGGGCCTATAAGGAAAGGCCAATCGAACGGATTATAGAGTCAGGCAACCACTAGAGACTTCCTTCACCAAGTAAGTGAGTTCAAGGAAAGTCTACTGGGGGCAGCAGTAGACAAAGGGGACCCATAGACAAATGGAACCCAAATTCTTTTAGGGGTGAGAGGAAAAGGTCCCGGCTTGGGCTCATACCTCATTAGAATGAGCCTTCCACTCACCTCCACCTAAAAAGGGTGTTCCTTCTCTGAATAGTCTTCTCCCCCAAGTCTCCAGTAGAAATAAGGGTACTCAAATGGACCTGTTGAAGGTCCCCTGGAATAATAGTAACCTGGCTGCCAGTATCTGCAGCCTCATATATTTGGTGACTCCATCTCTCCAAACCTGAATAACTGACACATGGCTTCCAGTTCCCTTAAAGACCTGCAGTCAAACCAGTCCAAGCCTAAAAGGATCCTTGGCCCTTAACTAAAGGGATTCATTTCAACAGTCCCTCAAATCTAGGTACAAAGAACTGAGTAACTTGGAATGACCTGGTGAAGATGGGGCTTTCCAGGAATGAGGCAGAAAAAATACTTACTAGGCCAGTCCTAGATAACCAAATAGAATTTTACTAACACTACCCTAGGCCAATGATCAATAATCTTGTCATCTCTATATTTCAAGAGCTCATCAATCTTCATCCAACTAAAGTAGCAGTCAGTCAGTCAATAAACATTCATGATAAGCACAGGAAATACAAAGAAAGACAAAAGACAATCTCTGCCCTTGAGGAGCTCACAATCAAATAGAGAACTTAAAAAAAGCTAAAAAGCAAGGGGGGTGGGGAGACAGGTATCCAGTATGACTGAGGGTTAAATTATGAGGCATCTGCCCTGGGAACCTTCCTTAAATATCAGATCTGGGATGAGCTCTCCTATATCCATCTTCCACCCTCTCCAATCAGAGGGAAGGAGAGGCCTAAGGGGCAAGGAGTACTAAGGACATGTGAATTTCAAAGTTGAATTGATCTTGCTGGAAAATTAATTTCTGGAGACAATGATTAAGTCCAGGTGAAGAGCCAGGTGAGAAGTGATAGAGCAGGCACGGTGCCTCTTCCTATCATCCCCAGAGTACTTATTTGTGTGGACAGCCCAATTTGCCCAGACAGCCACTGTCTCTTCTTCACCAGTTGATCTGCCCAAGCCTGCATGGTGGCCTGGCAGGGAAGTCCCATAGATAGCATTTGATATCATTCAGGTGGGGCTCAATCCAAGCTCTAACTGCACCCAAAGCATAGAAAGCATATGTTTCGGGGGTAGTCAGTCAATCAATATCAGTCAAACATTGATTAACCCTTTAACTATGTGTTAGATACTATGCTAAGCACCAGGGCTCAAGGAAGGGGCATAGATTCAATATACTGATGGGGTACTGGGCCCTAGACTTTTGCCCTTCACCCCAAAAAGAATTTGGGTCCCATTTGTCTACAGATTCTCCTGGAACTCTCCCACTTGGTCAAGGAAGTCTCTAGTAGTTGCCTGAGGCTATAGTCCTATCAACTGGCCTTTCATTATTCCCCAATCTCCCAATTCTCTGTTACCCTTAATCTAGCCCAGCCCTCCATTGTCTATTACCTCCCGATGGCCCCTCCTACTTCCCACCCTTGATCCTATCTAGACCCCATTCTCCCAGTCACTCCCATCAAGATCCTCCCTAGACTCCTCCTCCAGTCACCCTAGTCTTCTAGCCACTCCCATGAAAATACCCCTTTTCTCCCAGACCCCTCCTCCAGTCACCCCAAACTACTTGGCTATTCCTAGATCCCTCCCACAGTCTTTCTGTATATAAGGTCCATATGGCCTCCATTAAGGTGCTCAGATTCTTATAATCTAGCCAAGGCTCAGATTCTTTAAAATCTGGCCTGCTTGCATTAGTGATACAAATGCTTAGATTCCTTGGGAGTCTGGCCAATATGGAGGATCTTTAATAAACCTTGTCTTTGGCTGAAAGAAGGCTTGGGTTGAATTCATTCAGACAGGACCCAAGTGTCATGATTTTGGGGTCCCAGGACCCAAATCTCTAAACCTCAACAATACTAAATCCAATTCTTTGAAGAATGTAATTACCTTGATTGCTTTCCCCTATGTGTAACCAGATGCAGAGGGAATTCATCTTTGTTGGATAAAATTTGCAGAAGTTCCCAGAGATAAGCAACAATCCTTATTCAGGGCCTCCAACTGATAATTTAGCTGATTTTGTAACAGGAAATCCT